AAGAAGGACTGTGCATTGGCATCTGTACACGTTAGCCTTCTGTACACACTTAAAGGGATCTGGAGATGTAGTATTTAGTAGAATATTAACAGCACTCGGTGTTCCGTTGGTCTTTTCTAACAGACCCAACTCCCACAGATTTCGTCTGATCCTGCAAGCCTCCCTAGTCTAGGAGAAAATTCACTGAAGTTATCAAGTGTTGTAGAAAGCCAAGTAATGTGATTTGAATCAGGCCCTTCTATTTTCAAAGTCTGCACCTTTGTCAGGTGGTGCAAAATTCATCAAAATGAAGGGATTTGAGTGAGGACCGCACTCCATTTCCTTTATTCCCACCAAGAGAGCACTGGGTCATTCTCTGGGACAGTGCTGGAAGTTTAGCTTGTGAAGGCGTAGCACTGTAGTCATGGATGATGTAATTCTCCCAATCCTTAACCTCTAGTATGAACACTTCCCTCAGTCTAGTAATTTTTTCATGACACTAAAACAATTTTAGATCTCCATAAGTTTCCTGTAACTTGTACTGGCTACTAAAAAAAGCAAGGAGTTGCTTCTACAGTCAGAGACTGCAACCTTTTTTGTCCAGACCTTGCTCACTGTGCTAACAGAGGAGCAACAATAGCCCACCTCCTAGAAGAGGGGAGGGTGCTCAGTAATTAGGGAATGAACGGTAATTGTGAAGAAGGTAGAACGCTGAGAAAGCACTAGCTACACTGACTCTGCAGTCATAGGGACGGCCATCTCTCACACTGAAGACAAAAATCTTCGTATGTGCTTCTACCTGCCTAGGAGAGCAAGGCCTTGAGCTAGGTGGGAAATGCTGGTGAGTGGTACTGTCCTGCAGTCGTGTAGAAGCTGCCACACGCGCTTACTAATTAGAAGCCAAAGGGGAATTCTTTTCAGCAAAAAGTGAATTTGAAGAGCAGGAGCTTCTGAGCAAATCCAGGTAGGAATTTTCCAAGGAAACCCTGATTTCTTCTACTAGTGTATAAGAGTTGGTCAGTACCGAGGCCTCGTTTGTGGCATGAATATGCCCCTTTTGCAACTATAAGGGTTTTGAAACGCGTTGTATTCCAATGGAGTCTTTCTTTTAAGCAAGAACAAGTAGTAATGGTCAGCAGTGAGCTCCTGTCCACTCATTTTGGAGACCCTGAGCATTATCTGTCTCCATACAGCAAGACGAGCCACTGACCATTCTGACAGAAATCTTTGTCTCTATATAAATAGTTATCCTGACTCTGTTACCCTGTGTTTAGTGTTTAAACTAAAGCTATGGAGACTGAAGTTGAGAGATCTCTGGTCTGTGTAAGCAAAACTGGACTTGGATTGGTATCATAGTATCCCAGTTAGTTCCATGTAGCCTCTTCTGGATAGGGCCTACTCTGATTTATTTTTCATTAAAAACTTGTGGAAATCTTGTGTTTTATCTCAGCTGAAGTTGGGAGTTCCTTGAAATTGCAGATTTCCACAAAATAAGCGAACTGTTTTATCAGCCGTAATAGCAGTTTCCGTGCTATATTATCAGGTGACTAATATTAGGGCAATAGCTTTTGTACAGCTCCTTTCTCTTTCAATATAGATACGGTGTTGGCAAATGGATTAGAAAGCCAGAATGCAGGAATATCAACAGAACGTGGTGTGACCTCTCCAGTGAGACTTCTGACTATGAAGAGCAATACTACGCGAGCGTTAAAGCGTTGCTAAATGGGATGTGCTCCGACTGGATGGAGACCACACGATTCAACCCTCTTACAGACAGTAAGGAAAGTTAATCACACAGGCAGATGTTCAATGGCCTTGATTAATACCGTGTGCTCAGACTGCATGTGCCTTCATACTGTATGATATTTTAATTTTAGCATGCAGTTAGATTTCTTGGCAGTTGTTCCACATTTATGCTTTTGGCAGAAGTAATTGAAATAATCGTATTAGAATGTGGATATATGCGTGTGTTATATATACGGTCTTATATATACACTGAATACTCTTTTATGCTGTGGTAAAACTTTACTCAAGGCAAATAATAGCTGTGGCACATGCACAGTATAAAGAACTCTGATGTTGAAAAGGCTCTATTAAACCAAACAGTATCATACTCTAGAGCACAATATCTCTTATCTGTGCCAGATAATCTGAGAACATACTGGTAATTTAGCGTGTAGCAAATTGAGTTTCAAGGTTGTTTATCCTCGCCTAGGAATTCCTAGGCAAAATTTCAAGTCAGTGTTTACCTTCTCACTGTAAAGATCTTCTTAGTTACCTGATACAATAATTTTCTACCAACATAAATGAATTGTTCCAAGTCCTACTTAGACTCCCCAAAACTTTACAAAAATGTAGTATCATCCACTTTAAGAAACTGCATGGCCAAATCAGCATGCCTCTGCTGCATTTGACTGCTTGTACACGTTCTTTTTTCCAGCTAAAATTGATCCACCCATGGTAAGTGTATCTTCTACTGAGAAATCTATTTCAATCATTCTGACTGCTCCCGAGAAGTGGAAGAGAAGTCCTGAAGGAGAATCCGTATCTCTGCTTCAAGTGTATCCTGGCCTGCAATACAACGTGTCTGTCCTCAACAAAAAAACGAAGAAGCGGGTGAGCTTTGACAAGGCTGTAGAACTGCACCGGTTAAATCTGTGCTCTGCGCTTGCTGAAATGCATTTTGCCTGTAACAGCAAGGATTGAAATCGGATTCATAGCCTTGTAGGAATTGTGGGATCATTCAGGTTGGAAGGGAGCTCAGGAGGTCTCTAGTCCAGAGTCCTGTTCAAAGCAGGGTCAGCTGTGAGCTCAGACCAGGTCGCTCAGGGTTTGTCCAGCTGCACCCTGAAAATCTCCAAGGACGGAAACTGCACAACCTGTTCCACTGCTTGACTTTCCTTGTAGGGAAATATGTTTCTTTATATCCAGTCTGAACCTCTCTTCTTGAACTTATGTCCGTTGTCTTTCATCCTTCCACCATTCAGCACTGTGAAGGGCCTGGCTCTGTCTTCCTGATGACCTCCCTGGGTCATCCCGGGGGCTGCTGTTAGGTGACCCTGGTGCCATCCCTTCTTCCCAAATGGAACAAACTCCAGTCCCTCAGCCTCCCCTAACGGGGCAAGTACTCCAGCCCCATCCATCTTGGTGATCCTCTAATAGACCCGCTCTAGTTTGTCAGTCTTTTCTGTATTGGGAGGAGCAAAACTGGTCACAGTATTCTAGACGTGGTCTGACGAGTGCAGAGTGGAGGGGGATAATCCCTCCCCTCCGTCTGCTCTCACTTTTTTGCTTTTGGGGCACGCTGCTGGCTCACGTTCAGCTTGCTGCCTGTCCCCAGTCCTCTTTGGCAGAGCTGCTCCCCAGCCAGTCTACTGGCAATACTCGCCAGTGCATCCTTTGTCACCACATCTCAACATCTTCATTTGTCTGTCTCTGCAGATTTGCGTTTCATTATCAAGTAGCAGTTCCCAGAATAAACACAGCAGATGAGGAAGAGTTCAGAAGAAAACATTCATTCTTCTGTTCCCGTCCTCCAGACACAATCCCTGGCAAACCTCTGAATTCCCTGAAAAGAAACAGAAACTTTACACCAAAAAGGTCACCTTTTGTCAAAGGGAATGTTAAAATGCCGAGATTAGCAAATAGAGGTATACAAATTTTTGTTCTGGTTTGGTTTTTTTAATAAAGATGCTTGACATAGAGCAATTACTTTACTTTGGATTGCAAGGTCTACATAATACCCATTATTCTAAAGCTCCTATGTTTACCAGAACATCCCATTTGAAAGATTTTGTGGAATGTGCCTTTTATTGTATATATCAGGTATGTATATATGTATATAAAGGCACCTTATGCCTTTTATTGGCCTAGGCATCAGGAGAGGGCTGGAGCGATGCTTTAGCTCTGTTGCAACATCAGCATGAAAATGTGGGCTAGTGGTAGTACATGGTCCTACTTCATATAAAATACGAAATTGTTCAGTAGTGGTAGAAGAAAATACTCAGAGAGGACGTGACCTAGTTGTATTTGGAAAAAAAGGATGCAGCTGGCAGTTCTTACATTATCATACTCTTTACAGAAAATCTGTGTGCTTGTGACACGTTTTGTATACAAGATCTTTACCTTTCTGTAAGTGAGGAGTTAAAGGGGAAAAAAAAATTTCCTTTTTTATGTCTTCCAGTGGTTCTTCTCCATCAGCAACAACACCTTGGTTGTGCCCTGGTTAGAACCTGGAACAGCTTATTGTGTCAGTGCACAGATATATGTCACCACACCACTGCTGCACAGTGGGTTCTCTAAAGAATATTGCATTGCTACTTTGAAAGGTATGTGTAAGCTGGCAGATGACAAACAGAAGATGCAAGTTAGAAAAAAACATGGTGATTGAGTTTGTGAGTTTTTTATGTATCCATTCTGAGAGTGAAAAGCTAGAATTGTTTCCCCCTTCTCTGTGAGTTTGTACGGATGAAAAAAATCTTTGCCTTTAGTAAAACATAGCTGGGGTCTACAGACTGGAAGGTACAACAGTACCTCTGAAGAAAAGGATCTACATTCTTTGACTCTTAGTGAATGGAGAATATTTTTTCTCCTTGAATGAAGTCTGGGAGTGGCAAAGCTGGGTCATTCTCAGGGGGCAGAAGCTAGCAACAGGAGAACCTGAGGGAGGGATTGTTACTTCCTTTTAGAGTTTAATCTGTAATTTAGATAATAATAAATATTTGTCCTGTAGCTCAAATGTAATTTTTTTTTAAATTTCCTGCAAATTCCTTTGTATCCCATATCCACAAAGTAATGTGGTGAATGCACATTACTATCTGAATACGTTAAAAAGTTTCTCAGTACAGTGAAAACTTTTGTTTTGTTAACAGATAAAACGGCAGATGAGACTATAACAATCGTATTTGGATATGTTCTGCCTATCATGCTTGCTGTCCTTTTTATTTCAATGACATGCTATTGTGTGCACAGGTATATTCACGTCAGCAAACAGGAACATCCAACAAACCTGGTAAGTGTTCTCTGGTGCAGGAGGTCACTGCCTGCCTCAGCACTCACAGGAGAGCTGTGCATTTTCCAGGGCTCCGAGCTGGCTGGGAGGAAACCATGGCTAGCTGCAGATAAACACTCTAGTTGCCACTCAGATCAAGAAAAGAACATCATATCTAGGGTTATTAAATGCAAGAAAAACAGAGTAATAACTCAAGTTAGCAACTATGGCTCAAAAGATGCCCAGATCTGAAAAGGTGACCAGAGCCAACGAGGACCAGAACAGAGTTGTTGGTTTGGGAAGTCATTGCCGTAAGCAAGGTCTGGGGTGCAGAGGCAAGTTCTGTTAGGAAATCAGCACTCCTTAAACTGATCTAGGAAAAAGCACAATAGAGATTCAGTGAACAAGAAGTTACTAATTGGTTGAAATTGGAAACAAGAAGAGAAGATAATCAAGCAGTGCAAAAACCCTGTGATGATTTCTTGGACTATTACTGGCTATTGCCACACTTTACCATTTAATTGTGATTGTGAGGGATTTCGCACATGTGCATCATACAGATAATTTAATCTGGATTTCAAGAATACTTTCAAATACTGCACTACTTTCTAACACCCAAAAATGTACCAACAAATACATCCTGTTATTTACACAATCCAAATACACTGTCTATGTACAAATGTTTGCAAGTTTCCTAGAGCTGCAAAGTTTGTTAATTTTTAGAAAGAACACATAGAGTCTAAGAAACAGTATTGGTTACCAGCCCAGGAGCCCAGCAGAGCTCGCTCACAGTTATCTCTAAACAAGTTGCTCAAGCGTGAACGTGCAATTACAATAATGAATGAACACTTTGATGTTAATCCAATCTGCGTGACACTGTGGGATGGGAGGTATAAGGGAGTTGGTTTCAACATGCTGATCTTCCTGGAGAAATCTAGATCAGCACAGAGGCGATAGGAGAAATGTTCAGAGAGGGACTGTGGGTTCAGAAGGAGTGGAGCAGCTACTGCTGCAGTGTGTTCAGATGTGCATGGAGACACCTCCTGCACCTGGTGAGGCACCAGCTTTATCACAGAATCGTGGAATCACAGAGTGGTTTGGGATGGAAGGGACGTTCAAAGATCATCTAGTCCAATCCCCCTGCTGTGGGCAGGGTCATCTGTCACTGGCTCAGGTTGCTCAAAGCCCCCTCCGACCTGACTTTGAACACTTGCAATGATGGGGCATCCACAACTCTGGGCAACCTGTTCCAGAGCCTCACCACCTTCATAATGACGGGTTTCTTTTTCTATCCAATCTAAATCTAATGTCTTTCCATTCACAACCATTGCCTGTGGTGACAACAGGCCTTGGTAAAAAGTCTGTCTCTCTCTGTCTGATTCTTTATCCTGGGACGCAGGGCATGGTAGTGGGGGACAGCTTGGAGAGCTAGCTGGATAGACCGCTCTACAGTCCAAAAACGTAAAGGGCTACTTAGTGAAAAATTCCCACTCAATAGCAGATTAAACTCCAGCTCCAGGAGTTTATTCTGTAATAAATACATTATTTGTATGCTGTTTTGTTTTTGGTTTTTTTTTAAATGTCCATTGCACTTTTTAATAACCACCTTGAAGCTTCAATTTCATTTCTCAAACCTCTGGATTCAGTTGATGTTAAGGTAACAAATGAATATAGATGTGGTATTTTAATGATGCTCTCTGGCTTTCCCAACCTACAGGCTGTTCCCCGTGGGCAACCCATATTTTCCTATTGCACCTTCCTTTAGTGACTGCTCATACAGTATTTACTCCTGTTAGAAATACTACTCATTTCAGAAAAATTTCCTGTTGTTTAACGAGATGATTTATCACAGAGTCACAAAAGCAGCCTGTGACAGACTGCACAATGTGGCCTCCATACACCTCGCTTCAACCTTCTGTATAGCTTCCTCTCTGAAAGGAAACCTGATATTATTTAATTCTCTGTAAGCTATACCTTAACCTGGTACCTGACTGTGCTTGTGGGATGTGATTTTGACTGCACTTCCTCTTCACTGGCTAAAAAGAGTGGAATAGATTCTGTAATTTATGACTCAAGGACAACTTCAGTGGTTTCTCCAAAGTCACTTGAGTTTATGCTGGAGGAAACAAAACCAGAATTTGATGAAATTTTTTTAACCATTATTTTGCCATAGGGAAGATGAAAAAATGGGTATTAGAGCTGGTCATAATATAGCTTTACTTTGGATAGAATAAAAAAAGTGGAGCATATTAACGCTCCTGGAGGTTTATATGATGAACTTTCTTCTTCCCTAAATTGAAATAACCGCCTAATAAGGTCTAGCCTAGCCTTATATTTTAAAAATATATGACAATAGTAAGAAGCAGCAATATGGTATTTTTATTATACGCCACTCAAATCAAAATATTTTTTGCTTTCCAGGTATGGCACTATACTGAGAAATGCAAGGAAAGGGTTTTCATACCTTGTGAAAAAATAGTGGTCAACCTTATCACTGTTAACATGGATGAGTACAAGCCATCTCAGGAATCCAGTCCTCTATCAGAAAGGAAAAGTCCCCGTTATTACACTGTTTACAATGGCACCGAAGGGAAGGATTTGCCTTCAAAAGAAGTGCTGGAAACAAAACACTTGCTTGATATTTCACATGAAGAGATTTCGCACAAAGAGGATATTTTAGCAGAAGGGGAGCAAACAGGGAACTGGTCATCTTATGGCCAGCCTGGAACAAATAGTACTTTGAGACAGAAAAATGCAGGGACTGTAGAGTATGAACATGATGTAAGGGCTGAAGACTTCAGTCCTGGTCAGAAACTAGAAGACCTCAGTCTGAAAGAGAAGACCTCTGCCCCCAGGGAACTACTAGGTGAGCCACAGGACTGGATTAATATGAAAACAGGACAGCTGTATTGCCCCCAACTGGAGGTGAGGGCACCAGACCCTTGTTTGGGACAGAAAATAGAGGAACTTAATTCAAAGATCGTTGATGGAGCAGATGAATTGCTGGGTGAGACCCATATCAACTTGGTGGACTTGGATACTGAAAAATCTGGGCAGATATCCTATCCTCAGCTGGAAAAAATAGCACAGGGCCTCATGGAGAAAGAGGGTGGACAGACCATATTAGTAGATTGGGATCCTCACACTGGAAGACTGTATATTCCTACCTTGTCCGGTGTTGAAAATCAGGTGTGTGAAGGAGTATTTAAGTGTGATGATCCTGACAAAGAGGGAATTTTGTCCAGACTGTATGAGAAAGAGGTATCTGATGAATCATCAGAGGACCAAGAAATGTACCTCCTGCAATTCAAGGAACAATGGGGACTGCACGTAGAAATGGAAGACTGAACAATAATTTTCTAAAATACTGTAAAATGCCAATTTTGTTTTCTTTGCCAAAGAGAGCGATGGACTCAGTGGAGCAAACACATCTTAATGTATTGAAGTTTTTAGAACCATCACAGTTGAACAACTTATTCATGATATGATATTTGTAACAGTTTCCAGACATGATATAAGTGATTTCAACTCCCATCATAATACCTTCAGGTAAAATATGATGCTTATGAGATTATCTACTTTTAAAATATATATATATTTACAGAGGATGCTGTTAGGATTTTCGCATTGTAATGTCTACCAAAGCAAATGATCGGCATTTGAAAGCAGTAATTTTTAGCAAATAAAAAGCAACAATATGACATTTTGGTGGGCTGTTTCATGTGTCTTGACACAACGCAGTCTTTTCTAGGTCTCTCTCCTGCTGCATGTAATGATTTGAGCTGACTTTTGCAGAACAAGAATGGCATTCCAGTATGTATTCTGTTTCTGGTTTTAAACATTTTTTTGTTTAATGAAGTTCTTGGGTATTTCTCTTGAAAGACTTGTGTGAGGTGCAGGGTCGCATCCATAGTGTGCCACACAAATACGCAGCCAGCAACAATTCTTTTGGCTGGTGTACCTACAGGCTCAACAGATGTAAGGGAGAAGAAAGCAAGCATTAGTCGTATTTTAAACTGGGGGAAAACGTGGCACAGAGGGATTCAGTGAAATGCCTATAATCTTACTGGATGGACTGCGTCTCACCCAGCCTTAGACACTCACAGTAAAACATCTGTATGACTCATGTCCTGCAAGTGTCTGTTGTTCTCCGATGACTTTAATGGCAGGCTGGCGTGACTAGCGCAGACAGAGAAGTCTGCCCCAGACACATCCCACTTGCCATGTCAGACACAGAAAGTGTACCGGTGGGCTTTCTTTTATTATCTGATGTCCTGGCTGGGACTTTCAATACAAGTTCACTTTTTTCCCATGTCATGTGACATTTATTCAGGACATTGAATTACAAGATATTCTAGAAATTACTTACTAGGGAAAATGATATTTTTCTTTTCAAAGCCTATCTGTCACTTTACTACTTAATAGACCTTTTTTTGAACACCAAAAAAAAAAAACCAGTAATGATTTGTTTGGTTTTGAAGAGGAGAAGCAAAAAAAAAAAGGACAAAAAACTATTCTATAGTATTTAAAACTTCTACCCTCCAAACTAGGTACATGATTAGGTGTATTTTTGAAAGAAGACCTTTACCAGTATCTTTTCTCTCAGGTAATGTTTTTATTACATGACCTTGGCATTTTCTGTGACTATTCATCCTCTGAAATATTTCAGTTGCAGTCGTAGACTTGAAAACCAGAAATTACAGTAAAATATTTGATGCTGATGACTCCTTATCTGATGTAAGAAATGTCCTCAACTGCTTTTATTATAAAGACATATATCATGTAGTAATGTTACACCTAAATACTTAGGTATATCAACACATTTGTGCATCAGGAGATTCACAGAGGAGGATTATAGCTCAGAGTGAAAGAATAGTTGGAGATGTTAAAAGGTCAGAATTTCTACTACTACTAGCCTCATTTAAGCCATCCAGAATCTTTCACGGTATTTCCTAAAGACTTCTTAACCAACCTCTTTGGGCATAATCTCCTAATTGTCTTTTGCAATGTGGGGGCTATAATTCATAGGTGGGAAACAATTATTTCGTTTTTTCTGTAGTCCATTGAATTTTATCCAGTTACTGCTGCCCTAAGACCACTTGTGTTTTGTGTATATCTGCCATATGGAAGGATGAGGATGCTCCAGCTTCCTCAGTAGTTTGGTGCAGCTGCCAACCAGTCTTCTTGGAACAGGAAGGTATCACTTACTCTGTGTTTGTATTTCCTCTGGCCTTATTTGCCAGCTGTTGGTGTGTGCTGCTTTTTTTTTTTTTTTTTTTTTTTTTTTGTTAGATAAACAAGCCTTGCCCCAACAGTTACTACATGTAAGGACACTTAACATACTGTAACCGAGTCATTGCTCCTTAAAATTTGAAAACTTGGTAACTAAACCATAGAATCTCACTTAATTCAGTTCTTTGGTCATTGTAATCTCTTTTCTCTGCATCTTACCCCTTTTTTTTTTTTTTTTTTTTTTTTTTTTTTGTTACAAATTATTTTTTTTTTTTTTTTTTTTTTTTTTTTTTTTTTTCAGTTACAATTAAGTTGTATAGCATTTATTTCCTCTCTTGTACTTGAAAAGGCATCGCCTTCCTAGTTAACAGGATTCTGAGGTTCTTGCAGTCATAGATGCATTTTCATGATAAATTTATGCATTGAAATAGTAGTTAATTTTTGGACCAGAATATTTGTAATAGAAGTTTGCAGCACTTTCAGTGTTGCTTACTTTTGAATTTGCATTAAATTCAGAACTGATACTAGATTATGCAAACAGTCCTTCATGTTTATAAGATACGCTTTCAAAATGTTCTCAGGATAACCACGGCAAAAAGAGCTGGGGGAAAATGGTGTCAATTTCCATCAATGTAATACCAGTAAATGGTTGGTGCCGTTTTTAATATCCTCAAAGCTACTCATGTTTTGCCTTAAAATCTTCTAATTGTGTTAAACAAATGAAACTGATTAGACACGGTACCTCCAGCAAGCCAAACACTCAGCAAGGAGCAAAATACTTCCATGTAGAATTTTAATTCTACCTACAAGATTTTAGACAAGAGGCAGCTATTAATTACATGGAAAATCCAAGCAATAAGAGAACTGACATGTCCCTGGTCTTTATTACACTTTTTTAAACTTCAGTTAGCCACATTTAATAGACTTAATGCCTCTGAAAGCAAGGCCATATATCTAGAAGCAAAGACTACAGACTATACTCAAACCTAAGGCCTTGAAATCAGTGATTTTGAAAATGATGTGTGAGATTAATAGAACTAAATAGCAGTCTGTTGAGAACAACAGGATGTATATTTCTTGACTACAATGGCAATAAAAATAGAATTTCACCTGTGTCTGCCGGGCTGATGTGACCACTACTGGAAAAATAGCATCCAGTTTACAAAATAAGCCAAGCCATGAAGATAGAAGGCAAATACTACTATAAAAGGCTAAGGCAATGCTCTTCTAAGCCTGAAAAACAGGAAGCCTAGCTATCAAAATGAGATCTAATTGTGATGAAACCGATAGCTAGGTGTGGGCACACACAGTTTTGGAAAAGGAACTGTAATTTTTAAGTGTGGTTTTGCTGCCTGCAGCTTAAAGAGTGACACAGTTCTTGAAGGAGAGACTGAAAGAGGCAGCTGAGTGCAGGATACCTGGGGTCTGACTTACAGTGGCCCTGGAAAACCTACTGCACAATGCCAAAGAGCAGATGGAAAAGTCCAAACGCAGCAGGCAAAAATGCAGTATGAGCTGTGTGCCTGGCACGGTAAGGACTGCAGCCAGAATGCCCGCCCAGTGCATGAAGTTGGCCAGGCGAGGAATACATGATGACTGCCTAATACATGATGCAGGATAACCTGTAATGTGAAGCGTAGGGAAATGATCAAATTGTTAGAAGGAAAACCAAATTAACACGGCCACTGGATGTAAGCAGCTGGGTTGCCTGGACCTCACAGGGCTCTCTGATCACCTCGCCGCTGAAGGAGCACGGAGGGCTGGACAAGCCTGAGATGAGGATGTTCTCTGCGTAAGTGGGATCAGAAAAAGAGTTGTTGGAGTGGCCCGCTGTGGGCAGAGGGTAAGCAGGTGCATTTTGGAGATGGCAGCAGTGCATTAGCGTCTGTGATGGTCCAGTAATTTGCAACACACTGGTAGTGCAGTGGTTAGAAGGAAAGGTGGGCTCTGGAAAGAGTAGCTAACACCGTTAATCAGATAGCACAGATTTTCCTATGGATATTAAGGTAGGTCCAGCATGAGCTCTAAAAACATTCTCAGACTCTAGAAAATCACAGAATCACTAAGGTTGGAAAGGACCTTCAAGATCATCAAGTCCAACCATTAACCCAGCGCCACCATGATCCCTAAACCATGTCCTGAAGCACCACATCCACATGATTTTTGAACACTTCCAGAGATGGTGACTCCACCACCTCCCTGGGCAGCCTGTTCCAATGCCTGACCACCCTCTCGGTGAAGAAATTTTTCCTCATATCCAATCTAAACCTCCCCTGGCACAACTTGAGGCCATTTCCTCTCGTCCTATCGCTGGTTACTTGGGAGAAGAGACCCAGCTCCCTCGTCGCCACAACCCCCTTTCAGGTAGTTGCAGAGAGCGATAAGGTCTCCCCTCAGCCTCCATGCACAATATGAAAACACCCTGAGTGAGGAAGTACTTCAAATTACATTATTAATAAATGGCTGTACAGAAACATGCTCAATTTCTACTGATTTAAAATCAAATTTTAAGTTAAGCTTTGCTTTAGCACTTCTGTAAAAAGGAATGAATTCCTGAATTTGGGACTGACAAAATCTGTCAAATTTTATCAGAAGAGAGTTAAATCATGACTTCCCTAAGATCTAACCTGCAAATACAGGCTTAACCAGACAAAATGATTAGAATGTGAAGCAAGCAAAACTTAAAATAGAACAGCAGCATTGTTCGAATGCTTTAAAACAAGGACAACTGGCTGTTACCAAGGGCTGTGAAAATTCTCCGATGCCTTTAGGTCTTTCAAACAAGCATGTCCTTCTTCAACAATATGCTAACAAATGGGTGACATTTCTTGCCTGGAATATGCTAAATGGTATAATGATGCTCATACGCTGTCAAGTCTTAAAACTGACTAATCCTCTTTTTCCCCTTTAAATAAGAAATGTTGGCTCGTCTATACAGTGGAGTTAAAAGACCAGTTATTCCAAGCACCGTGTTGTGTTTTTGAACAATTTGTGTTTTTGAACAATTGCAGCTTCTATGTCTGACGTGATTCATTCTTGCGAAGTCAAAGATTTAAACCTGTTCCGATAGCTGCCATTAGTCCATTCAAAATACCAGTGTTCCCCATAAAAGGAAG